TAGTGCTTCCTCTCTGTTTTCCTACTGGTACTGAATTTTCACTGTAGAAAATGTTGATTTCGTGGACACACGTCTGGAGGAAAGTCCTTCCGAGGGAAGAGTCCTGACTGTGGTGCCCCAGCCAGCTCAGCGAAGGTAGTTTGGGGATGATTGGCAATCTACAGCTAAGTCAAAGCCTTGTTTGATCGCATGGAGCAACTGGCAGCTAAGCGATACCTGACATGGATACCTGACGTGCATTCAGACAGGAATTTCTCTCCAGAAGACCCCTATACTTTTGCGCTAAGAATTTTTCCCAGTCATATAAACCCATAAGCAGCCTGAATTCCTCCTAGATCACTTTTAATCTGTGTGAACATTGGTTTTCCACAGATTTGAACCTATCTCAGATACATGAACATTCTGTCAGTCATCAGCCATATTTGCACATAAGTATTAAACATGGGTATGAAGATATCGATATAAGAATAAATTCAAAGTTGTAGAAATCTACAGCCTCTGACTTTGACTTCTCTTCTCTATTTGGCCAAGCTGACATATTAAACCGTTCGCATTTCTATCTAACTGTGAGTATTACCTCGTGGCATTTGAAGAACGGGGATGTCTCCAGGGTAGCACGAATACCCTTCAACCGGTTAAGGTAACTGTTCTGGAATTACAAAAAAACAAACAAACAAGCCATAAGCACTGCAGGAAGCTTACGTAAAAACTGCTGCACAGGGCAGAAAGGAAAGTCACCGCTCCCGGCATCCTCTCCACGATACCACGTTTGCATGGAGAGATGCTGGGGGTGTCCCTCAGCTGCCCTGCGCTCAGCATCCTCCCACAGACCTGTCCCCCAGGGAGGGCGTCCCCTCTTTTTTTGGGATCCACTTATGCTTTTAGCCTCTACAGCATCCTGTGAGTTCCTGTGGCTTCCAACACTTTTTCCGGTGCTTTCTGCAGACTTTCCCTGCTGCATTCGTGGTGCTCCCGAGGAGGGAACAGCTAATTCAGCAGCCGCTGCTGTGCACGCACAGCCAGGCTCCTTTTTTTCCCCTCTCACCTGCACTCTTTCTAATAGGTAACTCTTCACCCCATCTGCCATTTTAGCACTCAGTCAGTCAAGCTCCGTGAGACACTTCTCTAACTCCGTACCAGCACTTCTGCAAGGCTGGTACCATAGGTGGAAGGGCTTTCACACTAGTCAGCACGCAGGTCAAGACCCACGCGCCTGTTTAAGCATCCCTGCAAATTGCTGGGAGGCACTAAACGTTCTCAGGAGGCCCCTTTGATAATTTGATTTAGAGGTTTAGATAGAAGGACTAAGCACAGGAACATGCACAGCAGGTGTCTGGGCACTAAATACACCTAAATTTTCACACTCTGCCTGCGTGGGGAGATGTGAGGGTCGCTGTATTGCAAGGGTTTGGCCAAGGAGCCCCGTCCTGAGCCAGGGCATGATGGTGTGAATGTGCTCCAAACTCTTTGAGGATAAAATGCAGCCAGGCAACTTCATTTTCAGCTCCAGGAATAATCCCTGGGTAACTCTTGTCAAAGCGAACGCGCTGGTTTGAAGGAGGCAGTGCCAAGGGGCACTCCAGCTGGAACCTTGCGTTTGTAGGCTTTATCTAGTGCAGCTTAAAATAGGAGTGCTTTGTCAAACGGCGTATTTGACACAGCTGGAGTAAATTGTTTACAGCTACATCTCGTATTCTCCTGGCAACATAGAGACACTTGGGAAATGCCGACCGCGGCTTGCCCGTGCGAAGGGCGCCTGGTGCGGGCAGGGGGATGCCTTGGCTGCCCTTGCTGTGAGACCGAGTGCAGGGCAGCCGTCTCTGCCAGGGTGGGAACCCCCGCCATTGCATACTGGGGTAAAGAACAGGCTCAGAGGCTGTCGTCAGCCCCAGGGACGAGGGGGCAGAGCACGGCTGTGCCTCCACAGAGAGTTTTGGGGCCAACCCTTGAGCATCTTCAGCAGGCTGGGACCCAGCCCAAGCAGTGCTGCTGCAGCAAACGTGTCCCCTCCCAGCCCTCTGCTGCTCTGCCCTCACCCCTGCACCAAGATGGTGTTTCTCTGCCATTTTTTATGCTTTTTTAAGAGAGATTGCTCAGGCTGCAGCCCCTCAGGGTAGGGAGCTGATGAGCTAGCCTCTGCAGGAGGAGCCCTCTCCAGGCAGCACCCCCCCACCCCAGCATCCCCCACTCACCAAAATGTTGCGGTTCCCTCTAGTGAACTCCCTGAAGGCCTCCGTGACTTGTTCCTTTGTCCGCGTCTTCTTGAAGTCCCGGTTCACAGTGCCGTCCTCTTTCTTGAAGAGAAGGGAGAGTGGTGAGAAGGATGGGAAGGGAGGGAGCCGGGGTAGGACTGGTGTTTCAACAGCCTTTTTGGCAGTGGAAGGACCTGTCTATGGAGGAGGGGTGAGCAGAGGCAGCAGCTCTCTGCCTTGCACATGCCAAATCATCCCACAGCTCTGCTGCATTACCCCCTAATGCAAATGGCAAGTGTCCACCATCGCAGGCTTGCCAAGGTCACCGGCAATGTGGACAAGCTACCTCTCATGGACCTGGCACTCACTGCCAACAGAGGCTGGAGATCACCCGTTTCTGGCCACACTGCCCAAATGGCTTCCCGTCGCTGCCGTGGCTGAGCACAGGTGCTGACACCAGCCTGGGGCTGCTCCCCTGCTTGGGGAGGAAAGCAGAGCACGACCACAGCAGGACTAAATGGAGAGTGGACAGAGACACCATCTCAGGAACAGGCACAAAAACCCCTCCGCGTGAAGTCCCCCAAGTACCGCTGCAGCAAGGAGATGAAAGCAAGGAGCAAGCCTGTGGCTGTCTTGTCTCACAAGTCCTTTGATAGTCCATGGACAGCAAACCGTCCAAGGCAGCAGCCCGGTACCGAGGTGCAGTGAGCACCCTTGTGCTCTCCTCTGCCTCTTCTCCAGGTGCTTGGCCTGCCGTGGGGATGGCACGGCTTGGTCCGCTGCAGGGACAACACACAGCCCTGACCCAGAGGCTCCTGGCCGAACCTCTGGGCAGCTTTGTAGGTGGCTCCCCATTTCCCTGGTCCTGCTGGGACTCTGATTTTTAGATCAGCATGTTTCATTGTCCGGAGCGGCCGTGTGTTGGGCAGGCAGAGCTTGCTTCCTGGATACAGGGGCTATTTTAAACCACACGTGCTCCGCTTGCAGAGCTCCATCCCACCACTCCGGACAGCTCGCTTACACACAATAGTGCAAAGGGACAGAGGCCAAAAGGACGAAGAAGCAGAGCAGAGGCTGGGGAAGGAAGAGAGCACAATGAAATCACCTGCCTTGGACGTTTACGTGCCCTGGTAGGACTTTGAGACCCATCCAGGGAAGTGCCTGGGGATGGGGCCATGTGCATTCCCCTGGAGAGCGGGCTGGCCGCGGGCATGGTGGCCAGTCCAGCCTGGGGGAAGGCTGAGCACCCCGGCTGGACCAGGTGAGCCCTGCACCAAACCCCCACCTGACGTGCACTTTGGGATGAATCACACAGCCCACTTCCAACTTCCAGCTTGCATTTTGTGCAAGCATTGACAAAGATGATAACGAGAGCAACGTGTGAAAGGTCTTAGTCTCCAGGAAAAAACCCCTTTGTTTTGCATGGGATGTAACCAATGCACGCAGCTTCAAACCAGCCTGGACCCTGCCTGACCACCGTGCTGCCGCAGGCTATAAAAGCGAGGCTAACGGCTGGGAGAGCACGCACCGGCAGGG